ACACACAACGTGTTGAAACAAGTTTGGCGGGAATTTTTTGAGCGGCGCGCGAAGACGTTTGAACCGCCGCCAACCCCCAATACAGCACACATCTCAACATCTCAACGACGACATACCACCGCAGCACCTTGTGTCCTCTCTCTCTCTCTCTCTCTCTCTCGACGACGACGATCGTGACAGACAACAAGAAGCAGCAGTGGTTGAGTGGGGTATGGCGCCGTCGCTTCCAAGTACAGCAGAGGCTATGGATGACAGAGACAACGATGGTGTGGTGAACATTGAGGACGATGACGACGAAGAAGCCGCCAACAGCCACACCCAGCACAACCACAGCAGCACCAACCACAACAGTGCAGGGAATGGAACTGCCGCGCCACCGACATCGTCCGCTGTGGGGACGAAGGTCGCTTCAACGTTTGCGTCCAATCTTATGCACGGCAATGACGGTGTGGACGATGCCATGGACAGCGACGATGAGCTGCACCAGCTGCTGTGCGGATACGACAAGGAGGAAGAAGATCTCAGCCACTTTGCCACGCCAAAGCCGCCAGCAACCACACCAGCCACAAGGCCAGAGAACAAGCCCACCACCAGCACCACCACCGCAAAGGCCGCAGCGAGCATCGCACCGCATCGTCGGACTTTGACACCGAGTCTTGACGACGATGACGACGACGAGGATGATGACAGCGCTAGGGAGAAGGACGACGACGACGACGATGACGGTGACTTGCCGTCTGTGATCCACCCGGTCCGCCATCCACGAGCGATTGCAGACTCAAGTGACGAGGACGAAACAGGCGAGGAGGACGATGACCTACTTGCAGCGTTTGCGTGTGCCGCCGAGGAGCAACAACAGCAACAGCAACACCAGGAGCAACAGCAACAAAAGCAGCAGCAACAGCAGACGCGAAGACAAGGGCAGGGCCGCCGACTGGGCGTTGGCGAGCAACAGTCACGACCTCAGACCGGCAGCCCAACGTTCAATCGGCGAGTGGGTGGCCGCGTTTCGTCGCACACGCCAAGCGTGTCGTCACACGTGGACACCTCCACCTCAGACGACGATGATAAGGACGCCCTCCCACACGTGCTGGCTGGAACCACATGGAAGCACGACAAGCCACCAACCACTCCATCAACAACAGACACCGCTGCGCCCCACGCCTCATCAACTGCGGACGTGGTCGTGGTGGATGATGACAACACCAACGGCAACGGCAGCGCTGGCGTCCACGCAAACTCCACGCCATCAACCATCACCACAACAACAACGTCAGCCACACGACCAGGCCTCCACACCACAGACCAATCAGCCGACGCCTCGGCAGCGGAGGATGTCACCCACGCATTTGTTTCTGCACTTGAAGCCTACACGCGACTCACACGTCCTGCCATGTCCTCCACAGCCCTCCACGACAGGTGTGTGTGCGCGCGCGCGCGTGTGTGTGTGTGTGCGCGCGTACATGTGGGTGTGCGTACATGTGTGTGTGTGTGCGTACATGTGTGTGTGCGCGCGCGCGTGTGTGTGTGCATGCGTGTTACATACGTTAGACAGTGCTTGTGTTTCCTCACCTTGCTTCCTTGCTTCCCTTCACCTCTCATCGCTTTCTCCTTCCATGTTTTCCAACCTCCCACCCCCCACGCCAACACAGCGTGTCTGTGCTTGAGCGAATGGCGCGGGTGCTGGAACAACCGTCCGCCCACATCTCCACTGCTCCGCTCCTGCGAACCATCAAGAAGCTCCGGGCGCAGCACCTTCGCGAAGCTCGTCGACCACGCCCCTCCATCCCACTAGCAGTGTCCACACCCTCACCAACGACAGCAGCAGCAGCAGCAGCAGCGTCAACAGCTACAACAACAACAGGAACGCCCGTGTCTGTCTCTTCGGCGTATGTCTCAGCGTCGTCCGTGTCGTCTCGCGTGCGCAAACCGTTCTCCCCGCCCTTTCGCTCCCCTACTCGATCAACCCACCACCACCAACACCAACAGCAGCCGCAGTCGGTGTCGGCGCTGTTGTCGTCTTCGGGTGGCGTTGATGTGCTGGACACAACAGCAACCAGCAACAGCAGCGATGGCATGGGTAGTGCTGCTCTGCTGGATATCGATGACGATGATGGTGATGATGGTGGTGGTGGCTTTGATGGTGGCTTTGATGGTGGCTTTGATGGTGGCTTTGATGGTGGGTACAAGCGTGGATCGTTTGGCAATCAGAACCCGCACAACACCGGCACCACCACGATGAGCGCCACACGCGGTGCTATGGCGCCGTCAACGCCTCTACCATTGTCATCATCGTCGTCGTCGGCGCTGTTGCTGCAGCGGCGCGGCACCACTCGCCCACTCACTTTCGTGCATGGTGATGGTGGTGGTGATGGCGGTGATGATAGAGGCGGTGATGTGGGTGGTGGTGGTGGAGGTGCTTCGTCGACGTTTGATGCTGCTGCCGCTGGACAGGTTGAATCGGCCGCAAACATCAGCACGCGCGGTGCGTCGGTGGTGGTGGTGGTGGTGGTGGTGGTGGTGGTGGTGGTGGTGGTGGTGGTGGTGGTGGCTGGACGGCTGCTCATGTACCAAGGTTGTGTTCACATGCGCACTCACGTCCTTGCAAAACCCATTGATGCATACAAATACCCACACACATACACCCACACACACACACACACGCACGCACGCACATTCATTCACACACACATAATTTATTCACACACGACAGGAGAGTTTCGGCAGTTTCTTGCAGAGGGGCGTAGCAAGTACCCAGCCTTCAACCACTTCAACTTTGACCACTCCATCGAAATGCTCAAGGCATTCAAACGCGTGAGTGCTTGCTTGCAAGCAACTGTTGCAATGGCGAAGGGCAGCAGTTGTACCTTGTTGTTCTGCTGTTCCACTTTTGTCTCTCGCATCGAGTGCGACACACACAACACACACACACACCATGCACATACACCTGCACGCACACGCACATACACACGTGATCACACACCCACACACCACGCACATACACATGTACACGTGCTCACACTTGCACGTGACACGCCCTCGGCGTTTGGCTCGTGTGTGCTCGCGTTTGCGTGCGTGCGTGTGCAGCAACTTGGTCTTCGCAAGTTCCGGCCAAACCAGCTGGAGGCGTGCAACGCCGCGCTCACAGGTGAGCAGGAGGCGAAGGCAGTGGAAGGAGAGGTGAAGGCAGTGGAAGGGGCGGCGAAGGCAGGGCAATGGAAGGGAGTGAAAATCACACACACACACACACACATCCCGTGTACACGTGCGCTGCAGGGCGGGACTGCTTTATCCTGATGCCGACCGGTGGCGGCAAGAGCCTGTGCTACCAGCTGCCCGCGCTCACCAAGAAAGGCGTCACTTTCGTCATCTCTCCGCTCATCTCCCTCATACAGGACCAGGTACCTTCCCGTGCCGTATCGTGTGTTTGTGTGTGTGTGTGTGCGCGTGTGTGTGTGCGTGTGTGTGTGTGTGTGTGTGTGTGTGTGTGTGTGTGTGTGTGTGTGTGTGTGTGTGTGTGTGTGTGTGTGTGTGGCGATTGTGGATGTTCTCCCTCACTTGCGACCACCACCACCACCACATTCTCCATCACCGTCGTCTCCGCCTGCCTCAGGTCTCTGCGCTTCGGCAAAACAACATCCGCGCCCTCTGTCTACTCAGCACTCAGGATCAGAAGACACAGAGCGTGAGTCAGCTGCATCTGTTGCATGCGTGTGTGTATGTGTGTATGGGTGCAATGCTTTGTGTGCTGTGTTTCCCTCATCATGCTGCTCGCGTTTATGCTCGTGCTGACACTGATCTCCCACCACCACCACCACCACCTATCCCACCACACCACGGCTGCCAGCAAATACACCGGACACTGTGCATGAAGGATGTGCTGTGCAAACTCATCTACGTGACACCTGAACGCATTGCCGCGAGCCACCGCCTCAAGCAGACAATGCAGAACCTCTACACCCGCGGCCTGCTGTCCCGCTTTGTCATTGATGAGGCACACTGCGTCAGCCAGTGGGGGCACGACTTCCGCCCAGACTACAAGCGGTACGTCAATGCGCGTGGATGTGGATGTGTGTGTGGATGTGGATGTGGTGTGTGGATGTGGATGTGGATGTGGTGTGTGTTTGTGTGTGTGTTTTTTTTTGTGCGTACGTATGTGTGTGTGTGTGTGTTGTGTGCGTGCGTTGTGTGTGCGCACGTATGTGTGTGTGTGTTGTGTGCGTGCGTTGTGTGTGCGTGTGTGATGCAATTTGTGACAGTGGGCATGTGGCGTGGCTCTGCTATCGCTCTTCCTCCTCCTTCTCTTCTTCCTCCTCCTCCTCCTCCTCCTTCTCCTCGCTGCAGCCATTATCGGGTGTAATGTGTTTCCATGTTTGTGTGCAATCTTCGCGCCACAGGCTGTCGTGTCTACGGGAATGGTTCCCAACGGTTCCCATGATGGCCCTGACGGCCACAGCAACAAAACGCGTCAAACGCGATATCCTGATGAACCTGAAGATGACCAACGCCCTCGTCTTTGAGCAGAGCTTCAACCGGCCCAACCTCTTCTACGAAGTGCGCAAGAAGTCAAGCTACAAGAAGGTCAGCGATGCTTGTGAAGATGATTGTGGTGATGATTCTGTTGGTTGTGGTGGTGGCAGTTGTCATCGTTGTCGTTGAAACAGAGACATCCCATTCTCAGCGCTCATCCGTACGTTGTTACATGACACATGTGCAGTGTGTTGAGGAGATTGGCAAAGAGATACGCACGCGCTTCCGCAACAAGTGCGGCATTGTGTATTGTCTCTCGCGCAAGGAGTGTGAGACCGTCTCACAGGCCCTCAACGTACGTGCACACTGTTTGTGGTATTGTTTCTGCATGCGCGGGCGCGAGTGCATACAAACATGTGTGCGTGCCTGTGTGTGTGTGTGCCTGTGTGTGTGCGTGTGTGTGTGTGTGTGTGTGTGTGTGTGTGTGTGTGTGTGTGTGTGTGTGTGTGCCTGTGCGTGTGTGTGTGTGCGTGTGCTTATTCATCCGCATGTGTGCGACTCTCTTCCATGTCTGCTTCACGTGTCTTCCCTTCAATTTCACCATGTCCCCCCCCCAACACATCGTTGCAGCAATCCGGGCACAAGTCGCTGTTCTATCATGCGGGAATGGACCCGGCAGACCGTGAGGCGTACCAGGTACGTTCACATGCACACACACACACACACACACACACACACACGCACACACAACACACACACACACACACACACAACCCACACGCGCGCGCGCGCTCAGCTCTTCAATGATGGTTGTGGTGGAGGTGGAACACGTTGTCGCTTCCTTCCTTGTTTCGCTTCCTTGTTTCGCTTCCTTGCTGGCTTTCCGACTCCCCTTTCTCCTTGGCATGCCTACATCCTGCACCTCATCTCACTGGGATTGCACCACGGGCTGTGCACCGACAGGACCAGTGGCAGAGCGGGAAGGTGAACATCATGTGCGCCACCATCGCCTTTGGCATGGGCATCGACAAGCCCGACGTTCGGTGAGACGACGATGCGACGTGGTGTGGTGTGGTGTGGTGTGGTGTGGTGTGGTGTGGTGTGGTGTGAAGGAGAGGGACGTTGGCCAAGTCATGGGACACAAACATCGCCCGGTACTGAACGAACGCACACACACACACACACACACACACACACACACACACACACACACACACACACACACACACACACACACACACACACACACACACACACACACACACACACACACACACACACACACCCGTCTGCATCGTGGCAGGTTTGTGTTCCACTTCTCGCTGCCAAAGTCGATGGAAGGGTACTACCAGGAGGCAGGTCGCGCCGGGCGTGACGGGAAGCCGGCGGTGTGCGTGCTGTACTACAACTACGGCGATAAGGCCAAGCACATGCGCCTGATTGACATTGGCGAGGGATCCTACGAGCAGAAGGAGCAGCACAGGTGTGCTTGTGCGTGTGTTTACATGTGTGTGTGTGTGTGTGCGTGTGTGCGTGTGTGTGTGTGTTTGTGCCTTCACAATGTTCCTTGCCGGGTTATCCTCGCAAACCCTCGTCTCATCATCATCATCATCATCATCATCATCATCATCATCATCATCATCATCATCATCATCATCATCATCATCATCATCATCATCATCATCATCATTACCATCACCACCACCACCACCGCACTCCACCGCTGACCTTCATCTCCCACCACCACCTCCACTTCACCCACAACCAGATCAAACCTGAACCAGGTGGTGCAATACTGCGAGAACTTCCAGGACTGTCGACGAGTGCAGCAGCTGGCGTACTTTGGCGAGGACTTTGACAAGCGCGACTGCAGGAACAACTGTGACGTGTGCAAGAGTCGTCGTGTGTTTGAACAGAGAGATGTCACCGACGCCGCTCTCAACCTCACCAGCATTGCCAAGGTGACCATGGACTGTTGTGTGTGTATGTGTGAATGTGTGTATGTGGCGTGTGTGGTGTGTATGTGTGTGCGTGTGTGGTGTGGCGTGTGTATGTGTATATGTGTGTGTGTGTGGCGTGTGTGTGGCGTGTGTGGTGTGTATGTGTGTGTGTATGTATCTTGGGTGTGTGGATGCCCCTTTCAATTCACCGCCTGCTCCCACCGCCTTCCCTCGCCTTACACCACACGACAGGAGCTTGCCCGGGACAACGTGACGCTGATCATGGTTGTGGATGTGTTCCGCGGCGCCAACACCGCCCGTGTGCATCGTTCGGGCTACGACAGCGTCGCCCAGTTTGCGTCCGGCTCCAAGTTCGCCAAACATGACGCAGAACGGCTTGGTGCGTGGTGGTGGTGCTGCTGCTGGTGGTGGTGCTGTGTGTGTGTGTTATCTGCGCACGCTTGTACCTTCTTAAAGCTCTTCTGTGTACCTTCTCAAAGCTCTTCTGTGTACCTTCTCAAAGCTCTTCTGTTGTTGAACCAAACTCACACACACACACACACACACACACACACACACACACACACCATTTGCAGCGCGCAAGCTTGTGATGGACAACGTGTTGCAAGAGAGCCACCAGGTGACACCGCACGGGGCAATCGTGTCGTACGTGACGCCTGGCCGCCGCGCGTATGACCTGTTGTCGGGCCGCATGTCCGTCAAGCTGTCGATGGCTGGCAAGAAGCGGCGCGACAACAACGACACCAACGCGGGCGATGCAGACGGCGTCACATCGGAGAGCGAGCGCATCACGGAGAAGCTCAAGGAGGCGCTGATTACGCTGCGGAAGACAATTGCGGCAGAGCAGCACTGCAGCGTCAAGACCATCTTCACCGATTTGCAGATTATGAAGATGGCAGAGGAACGCCCGCTCTCGCTCACGGCCTTCGGCGAATGCGAGGTCAGACCAGTGTTTGAGATTGGGGGAGCAGGCGGTGGCGGTGGTGGTGGTGGTGGTGATGTGCTGCCACGTGTGTGTGTGTGTGTGTGTGTGTGTGTGTGTGTGTGTTGTGTGTGTGTTGTGTGTGTGTGTTGTGTGTGTGTGTTGTGTGTGTGTGTTGTGTGTGTTGTGTGTGTTTGTGTGTGTGTTTGTTTGTTTGTTAGCATGTGTGCGTACTTGCACCACTCCGTCGCCGTCCATGAAGCGGACTTCTTTGCCTTCCTCTTCGTCATGCACACCTTCACCATCATCACCACCACCACCATCATCTCCACGATCCAGGGTGTGACAGATGCCAAGTTGAAGGCGTATGGGCGCCGGTTTGTGGACACGGTGCTGGAGCATGCGCAGGCGTGGCAGTCGACCGGCAAGGACGCAGGGGTGAGTCACGTCTGTGGAGAGCGATGATGAAGGACGCCGATGTGGTGATGGCAGTAGTCAGGGCTGATGTTGGGTTTTGTTGACGCTGTTTTGCTTGTGGTACAGGGCCGGTGCCACATCTTTCACATACACGCATTCTCTGTCTCTCTCTGTCTTACACACACACACACACACACACACACACACACACACACACTAACACACACTAACACACACACACACACACTAACACACACACACACACGCACACACACACACACACACACATAACACACACAACCACCCCCCCGAACACACACTCACACCCTGCAAGAGCAGACAGCGTATGACGCACCTTCAGGGATCGAAGGAATCAAAAGAACCAGAAAGACTTCATCATATTCTCTCCT